TCCCTTGCTATGCAGGACTGAGTACATTGAAGACTGCCCTGCAATTATGAAAGAATTTTTCCCCCCATGGATGTGTACTCAAAATGATGGTGGGATGGATGTTCCTGCTCCCATATCAGCAAATGCAAAAGGAAATACAGTTTCACCATGTGTAAATAAAGAACAACATTCAAGAGACAATACAGCTCCTGAAATATGTGTCTAAATGAATCCTCAGAAGAAAGTTCACGGAGGAGCGCATATCAATCAAGCACAACCAAGGACTGGCAAAATATTTAAATAAGAATGCAAGGAACTGGAGATCTGTGAGGCAGACGTCTTGGGTGTCAAGCTCTCTGCACTTCTGTTACATTTCCAATAAGTCTCGGTCCTTGCCTATTGAGAAATTGCTTCATTATGGGGACATCAATTAACCAGGCCTTTGGTTCCAGAATTTTACCATTTTGTTCTTCCTCCAGCTGTGGCACTGCTTTTGTGCTTCTCTTGTAGAGAATAGCTCTGCATGAAAGAGGCTTGTGCTAGGTCAGAGGTGAAGAAGAGAAGGGCGTCTGCATTGTTGGGCAGACTGCTCAGAAACTCTGTAGCCGAGGGTTCCTATACAGCCCCTAGAAGTAGGGCTTTATGTAGGTAGGGCGACGCTAGGGTTGCCAAACCCCCCGGTTTGCCAGGGGTCCCCCATTTTGTGGGGGGTTCTACCCCCTGCCGGCCAGATGGCCGGCGGGGGAAGCCCCACCCCCAACACCCACAGCCACCCATCTCTCTCCCTTTAAGTGTGTGGAACCCGTGTTTCCTCCCAAGCCCAATCTCCCCAAGCTTGCAGGGAAATGCCAGCTTCGTGCTCTTAAAAGGGAAATGCAGCTGCTCTTAAAGGGGAAATGCCGGCTCCTGCACTTAAAAGGGAAAGGCCGGCTCCTTTAAGTGCAGGGAACTGCTGTTTCTGGAGATCTGGCGCACGGACAGGTGGGGGGGGTGGATGTCCCCGATGTGATGTCATCACGTCGGGGATGCCCTGCCCCCTCCAGGAACGCCCCCAAAGTCCCCCGCTGGGGGTGGAAGATGGACTTGGCAACCCTAGGCGACGCACAGCAGAGTGGGGATGGATCCTGCAGATTGTGCACACATGGGAGTGGATCCTCTCAAGCTTCCCTTTCCCCCAGCAGACCCCCTTTGGCCATTGCAAACCTGATGCAAAAGATCTGGAGGACCTTCATAGACAAAATGCTGTGTGTTGCAGGGGGGTGCAGTGAACATAAGAACACAAGAAGAGCCTTGCTGGATCGGAACAATAGTCCATGGTGACTGAGGGGAACGTCCACATTCAGAGGCACTAATCCTCTGGATTCCAGAGCCAGGAGGCAACACCAGGGGAAGGCCTCAGCCTCTGTGCCCTGTTGTTGGCCGTCCAGAGGAACTGGTGGGCCACTGTGTGAGACAGGATGCTGGACTGGATGGACCACTGGTCTGATCCAGCAGGGCTCTTATGTTCTTAACATTGTACAAGGGGCAGTTCAGTGATGTCTATTATTACGACACTGCAGTTCAATCTGTTATGCCACTTAAAGTTAGTCATATTCCATTGTGCTTCTAGGGTACAACTTGGGGTGTCGTCTGATGGTGTGCTAAAGACCGCTCTCCTCCTTCTAGAAACTATTTACATAAGAACATAAGAGACGCCAATGTTGGATCAGGCCAAAGGCCCATCCAGTCCAACACTCTTGTCACACAGTGGCCAAAAATACCAGGTGTCATCAGGAGGTCCACCAGTGGGGCCAGGACATTAGAAGCCCTCCCACTGTTGACGCCCCCAAGCACCAAGAAGACAGAGCATCACTTGCCCCAGAGCCCCTATCTATACCTTGTGGCCAATAGCCACTGATGGACCTCTGCTCCATATGCTTATCTACCCTTCGGAGAAAAACACAGGTCAAAATCATGGCAGGGTCCGTTGCTCCCGGACTGGCATCAGAGTGCAAGAAGACAGAATATGGGAGGAATCCTTGTGGCTAATAGCCACTGATGGACCTCTGCTCCATATGCTTATCTACCCTTCGGAGAAAATCACAGGTCAAAGTCATGGCAGGGTCTGTTGCTCCCGGACTGGCATCAGAGTGCAACAAGACAGAATATGGGAGGAATCCTGTTTTCCACCAGGGCATCCCTGCAAAGAAAGCAGGAACACCAGCCATGCAGGCTGTATCCAGACTGAGCTGGCGTTGCTCTGCAGTTGCCCTTCTCCACATTTTATCTATTGATTTGATTATTTATTTGATTTGTATACCGCCCTCCCTGTGGCCGGGCTCAGGGCGGCTCACAACCATCTCGGTCGATGCTCCCTCTAAGATGTGGAGCCCTGTGAGCAAAAATTCTACTTTGTGAGTTACTGGGATTAAAGTGGTGAGCGAGCGATTTGGCTACTGCATAAATCAGTTTGCTCTGGAGCCTTCCTCAGCTAAGACAAAAATACGTAAGCCGGGGGCTTCTAAACTGTGAGCTAGCTCACACTGACTCAGCTTAGAGGGAACACTGATCTCAATACGATATCACTAAAACAACAATTAAACAACAGTTAACATAGTAAAAGTGAAGGGCCTGGGCAGGCTAAAGCTCTCCGCCCAATCTGTACCGTGGGAATTAGATGTTCTGTCCAGCCCCCTAAGTGAAAGCTATGTGTACATGCCCTAGAGGGCTCTTTTTGTAGCAGGGACTCCTTTGCATATTAGGCAACACACCCCTGATGTAGCCAATCCTCCAAGAGCTTACAGTAGCCCCCGTAAGAAGAGCTCTGTAAGCTCTTGGAGGATTGGCTACATTAGGGGTGTGTCGCCTAATATGCAAAGGAGTTCCTTCTACAAAAAGAGCCCTATAAGTCAGCTCCTTTACAGGCACTTGGCTCCCTTACTAGCTGCTTCACATGTTGCATTCAAGTGTACATCTAAAACGTTTTACATGCACTGCAAAAGACAAAAGACATATACGTCTGTTTACTTCATTTCTGTGCTACTCTCAGCTTAGAGGGAACACTGATCTCAATACGATATCACTAAAACAACAAGTAAACAACAGTTAGCATAGTAAAAGTGAAGGGCCTGGGCAGGCTAAAGCTCTCCGCCCAATCTGTACCGTGGGAATTAGATGTTCTGTCCAGCCCCCTAAGTGAAAGCTATGTGTACATGCCCTAGAGGGCTCTTTTTGTAGCAGGGACTCCTTTGCATATTAGGCAACACACCCCTGATGTAGCCAATCCTCCAAGAGCTTACAGTAGCCCCCGTAAGAAGAGCTCTGTAAGCTCTTGGAGGATTGGCTACATTAGGGGTGTGTCGCCTAATATGCAAAGGAGTTCCTTCTACAAAAAGAGCCCTACGAGTCAGCTCCTTTACAGGCACTTGGCTCCCTTACTAGCTGCTTCACATGTGGCATTCAAGTGTACATCTAAAACGTTTCACATGCACTGCAAAAGACAAAAACGTCTGTTTACTTCATTTCTGTGCCACCTTTCTCCCCAAGAGGCACCCAACACGGCTTACATCATTCTCTCTTCCTCTATCTTGGTGTAGTGGTTAAGAGTGTGGGCTCTAATCTGGGAGAACCGGGTTTGATTCCCCACTCCTCCACATGCAGCTTGCTGGCGTGACCTTGGGTCAGTCGCAAGTTGTCTCAGAGCTGTTCTCTCAAGAGCTGTTCTCTCAGATTTGTTTGATTCCCCACTCCTCCACTTGCAGCTGTTGGATGACCTTGGGCACGCCATAGTTCTGGCGGAGCTGTTCTTGAAAAAGAGCAGTTTCTGTCAGAGCTCTTTCAGCCCCACCTGCCTCACAGGGTGTCTGTTGTGGGGAGGGGAAGGGAAAGGAGATTATAAGCAGCTCTGAGACTCGGAGTGAAGGGTGGGATAGAAATCCAGTCTCTTCCTTTTCATTTTATCCTCTCAATGACCCCACGAGGCAGGTTAGCCTAAGAGTGTGTGACTGGCCCAAGGTCTCCCAGAAAATGTCCATGGCAGAGTGGCCATTTGAACCTGGATCTCCCAGGACCTAGTCCAACCCTCTAACCACTGCACCTTGCAGACTGTCCTTCGTGATACATGCATGTCTTCAGCAACATGTATGATAGGTGGACACCAAAAAAACCTAGGATTAGATAACAGCTCCTTATCACATGCACATGCAGTGAAAAATACACTGTTTACCGAAGTGTAAGATGCACTCTTGACTTTGAAAATAGGGCACGCCATAGTTCTGGTGGAGCTGTTCTTGAAAAAGAGCAGTTTCTGTCAGAGCTCTTTCAGCCCCACCTACCTCACAGGGTGTCTGTTGTGGGGAGGGGAAGGGAAAGGAGATTATAAGCCGCTCTGAGACTCGGAGTGAAGGGTGTGATAGAAATCCAGTCTCTTCCTCTTCATTTTATCCTCTCAATGACCCCGTGAGGTAGGTTAGCCTAAGAGTGTGCGACTGGCCCAAGGTCTCCCAGAAGATTTCCATGACAGAGTGGCAATTTGAACCTGGATCTCCCAGGACCTAGTCCAACCCTCTAACCACTGCACCTTGCAGACCGTCCTACGTGATACATGCATGTCTTCAGCAACATGTATGATAGGTGGACACCAAAAAAACCCTAGGATTAGATAGCAGCTCCTTACCACATGCTCATGCAGTGGAAAATACACTGTTTACCGAAATATAAGATGCACTCTTGACTATGAAAATTAAGCCTGGCTTCGAAAAGAATGAGAAGGTGAAGCCTCTAATGATAATGGATTGTGTGCTATGAATGAGTTCCAGGTGTGCTAGTGTCTACTGTGCTATGCGCTTCCACAAAAATTCCCATCTCTGCAAGATCAGTTGTTTTCATGCACAGATGGAAGCGCCAGCAGAAGAGGAAGCACACTCCCCAGAAGACGCTATTACGTGCGCCTGGAAATTGTTCGTAGGATCCAAGCCTATATTTCCAGTACCTGCTTCTCTTTTACCCATCTTCTGCATGTGTCTCTTTTTGTTTGATTTCAGGCAGTCGACTACGAGATGAACAGGGCTTTTATGCTGACAGTGATGGTGTCCAACCAAGCCCCTCTCGCCAGCGGCATCCAGATGTCCTTCCAGTCTACGGCAGGGGTCACAATTTCGGTCACCGACGTCAACGAGCCACCCTACTTCCCCGCAAACCACAGGCTCATCAGACTGGAGGAAGGTGTACCAACAGGGACGGCACTGACAACCTTTTCAGCGGTGGATCCGGATCGTTTCATGCAGCAGGCCGTGAGGTGCGGTAACAGATAAAAACAGACAGGGTGTACACTAGGGTTACCAGATGTCCCGTTTTTAGGGGACATGTCCCATTTTTGTGTGCCCGTCCTCTTTGGGGCTCTTTTTAAAAAAAACTGATGAAAATGTCCTCTTTTCGTGTTGGAAGGTTAGGAATATTCCTAGTTAGTAGCGATGATCACAGCTTTTCGGTCCTGGCCCCAACCTGATGGAACTCCTTGCCAAACAGCGCCAGGGCCCTGTGGGACCTTGTGCAATTCCATGGGGCCTGGAAGGCAGAGATGTTCCGCCAGGCATTTGGTGGAGGGCGGCAATGGTTGGTTGCGTTGGTTGGCACCCTTCTCCTCTCCCCCCTTCCCCCTAAATGGCCAGGCAGTTCAGAAATGGAATAGACATTTGTAAGTCGCCACCTTGGACCCTTTTACTCTGGTTTTAGTTCTTATCAACTGTATATGGAAATTTTTAAAATTGTATCTTTGTTTTTGGCATTATGCCCTTTGTACATCGCCCGGCGCCTGGTGTAAACTGGGATAGGGCGATCAACAAATCAAATAAATTTATCATCATCTTTATCTCAGCCCCTACCTACCTCACAGGCAGTGTTCCATCTAAGCTGAGTTAGTGTGAGCTAGCTCACCATTTTTTAGCCTCCAGCTCACACGTTTTTGTCTCAGCTCAGGAAGGATGGCTCTAGAGCAAACTAATTTATGTAGTAGCCAAATCGCTTGCTCAACTTTAATGCCAGTAGCTCACAAAGTAGAATTTTTGCTCACAAGACTCCATGGCTTAGAGGGAACATTGCTCACAGGGTGTCTGTTGTGGGGAGGGGAAGGGAAAGGAAGATTGTAAGCCACTCTGAGACTCCTTCGGGTAGTGAAGGAGTATAAATCCAATCTCTTCCTCTTCTTCGCTTCTTAATAATAATAAATAGTAAGGGTATCTAAAACGAGATTTGTCATAGTGATCACTTGTTCGGAGTAGTCAGTCTGGAAATATGTCCTCTTCTTTACTTTTCAAAATATGGTAATCTTTGTGCATGCTGTGAAATCTTAGGAAATCTCTTCTGTATATCTGATATTAGCAAGGCAAGCTTTGGGGACACTTGTCTGATTGTCAGGGAGCTTCAGCCAATCCTTCCTCTCTGATAAGCATAAATTTACACTACTGTGTAGTCAGAGGGCATCTGGGTTGCCTCACTAAAACTGTGAAAAGTTTTAGCAGAGCCAGCTGTGTGGTGAAGTGTCCTCCATTACTGTGTAATAAACTGGTTGTTTGTTTGGGCTCTGCAGCTGTATGTTTACACAATCTGGTGGGGATAATAGATCCACCAATATATGTCTCAAAAACCAGAGATCGGGGCCATAGGGCTGGGGAAGGAAGGATTTAACCCTTCTGCTCCATTTCTGCAGTCAAAACCTGGGCCATGGAGTGGAGAAGTACAGGAGGGATAAAAAGGACAAAATTGTGTGAGTCCGCCAGCTCACACGTTTTTGTCTCAGCTCAGGAAGGATGGCTCTAGAGCAAACTAATTTATGTAGTAGCCAAATCGCTTGCTCAACTTTAATGCCAGTAGCTCACAAAGTAGAATTTTTGCTCACAAGACTCCATGGCTTAGAGGGAACATTGCTCACAGGGTGTCTGTTGTGGGGAGGGGAAGGGAAAGGAAGATTGTAAGCCACTCTGAGACTCCTTCGGGTAGTGAAGGAGTATAAATCCAATCTCTTCCTCTTCTTCGCTTCTTAATAATAATAAATAGTAAGGGTATCTAAAACGAGATTTGTCATAGTGATCACTTGTTCGGAGTAGTCAGTCTCTTCTGATGTTCCTATGAATGCCTCAGCCTCTATGCCCTGTTGTTGGTCCTCCGGAGGAAGTAGTTGGGCCACTGCGTGAGACAAGATGCTGGAATAGATGGCTCGCTGGTCTGATCCAGCAGGACTCTTCTGATGTTCCTATGAATGCCTCAGCCTCTATGCCCTGTTGTTGGTCCTCCGGAGGAAGTAGTTGGGCCACTGCGTGAGACAAGATGCTGGAATAGATGGCTCGCTGATGTTCCTATGAATGCCTCAGCCTCTATGCCCTGTTGTTGGTCCTCCGGAGGAAGTAGTTGGGCCACTGCGTGAGACAAGATGCTGGAATAGATGGGCCACTGGTCTGATCCAGCAGGACTCTTCTTTAGTTCTTATGTTCTTCCTGGACTCTGATCTACCTGTTCTATTAAAGAGCCCCTGAATCCTTGCACAGCTATGTTTGTGGACAAATATTTGCTGCATTCACCCAAGGTAATCTTAGATGTAAAACCAGAGATGTACGCCTTAGCAACAGTGTTCCTTCTAAGTTGAGTTAGTGTGAGCTAGCTCACAGTTTTTTAGCCTCTGGCTCCAGGGGTCGTTTCGTAGAAAAAAAGCTAGGGGAACTCATTAGCATAACTCATTAGCATATGCCACACCCCCTGACATCACCGGAAGTGTGTCATAAGGCCACACCCCCTTACATCACCGGAAGTGTGTCATAAAGCCACACCCCACCCCCAACGGTCCCGGCTGCCGCCGCCAGCCTTACAGCTCCACTGCCGAGCCCCATGAGGGGCCTGGGCGGTGGACCTGCAAGGCCGGCGGGAGTGCAAGGAAGCCCCGCAAAGGCCCTCCCTGGCCCCAGGCAGGCAGGGGTGGGGAGAGGCAGGGAGGAAGCAACTTACCCTCCCTCTTCTCCTGCCTCCTCCTGGCAGAATGAGGGCCGGAAGCGGGGCGGCCGGAA